TATATATATATATATATATATATATATATATATATATATATATTTATATGTGTGTGTGTGTGTGTTTACACGTGTCGAGTTTCGCTTAATGATGCATGATCGGAGGAGGGGGCATAATTGAACAAACGACGAGCCCACTCGACACGATTTTTTTACTTACTACTTGGTGCGACTCGCAACGAGCGCGTATTCGTGTTTTTAATCGTGCATGGCTTGGGACAAAAGTTTTTCTCTGGTAAAACGATTAACGGGGAATGGAAAATTTTATTGAAAATTACTCGTGCACCTACGCATTGTTATAAAATTATTTTCGTATCGAGAAATTCCGAGCGTTAAATTTATACCGGAGTGTACAAATTATGATAAATTTTCGCCCTCCTGAGCTCGCAAGACTAGCATTTTTCATGAAATAGTTTGCACGTCCGTTACTTGGGTAAACGAGGCCGATGACGATGACAATTTTCAATGTATAGTATGGGTGTACCGCCTGAAAACTACAGCCCGTAAAAATATATATGCACTCGGTTTCTTTTGGTGTCAAATCGGGAAAAAATCGACTTCCCCAAGCGATCCGCGGGTGTGCAGTTGTTTCACCTCCGCGCGGGAAAATTCGATTTAAGTTTTCTTGGCGCGCGGCTTAACGAGCTCGAATACACACAACCCCCCCACCATCCAGCCCCTGTCTCGCGGCGAATCGAACAAAGTTATTCGATCTGCCACATACACCCCTGTACCTCTGTACACGAGAGCGTAAAAAATCCCCTGGTAATTAAACCCCACCCAGCTATCCCTTTTTTCCTTGTGTGTGTGTGTGTGTGTACACGTTCAGCCGCGCGGGAGAGGGATCGTTTCCAACGTTGGATTCGGCAACCGCGAGAGCCATTTTTCCCGCCCCATCGAGCGTAAAATCGCGCCAGCGATATATTTGTTCCGTATAATTTTACTTCCCGTTGTTTCCGGCCATACCAATAAAAGCTAAGCAATACGTGGGGGAACTGATCGAACGTGGTCGCGCGACAACCCAATCGACGTACCTCCCCCTATCACGGTTGTAAGCGCCTAGAAACACACGATATCTGACACGCGTGAATCGTCAAACGCATCCGTTTTTGGGGAGGGAGGGAATCATCCGCGTGTATATGGCGCAATAAGTGAAATTCATCGTCGCAATATGTATACGTGCCGTGCAGCCGTCACCGCCCCGTTGTCCAGGCCGTCGAGCAGCTTTTTGCGATTAAAAGTGCACGTTTGTCCGGGCGTCCCTCATCCCGTGACGGATGGCTGTCGGACGCCTCGGTGGCATCGATATTTAACCCGCTGTGTATAAAACAGGGGCCAAAGGGAGGAAAAATCGTACGTGTGCGGTTGAAAGTTTTAGCGCCGGGTATTTTTCAGTCGGCGAATGAGAGAAAAAACGAGTTTCGCTCAATCACCCCAATGTGTATAATATGCATTTATGCATGAGCTTGCGGCCCTCCAAGTGACTAACAAGTAAAGCGCCAACGGCAATACCAGCTCGTTTTCCTCTATATATTATAACAGCAGGTCACACAAGTCGACCTATGCCATCCAATGCGTCTGTAGTTATGGGAGCTCGTAAATTCTCTCCGCGGATAGCCACTGTGTGGTTCATGTATGGGTTGTACGTGGGTGGTACGCTTTTGTTGACTGAAATTCGAAAGAATGGCAGAGTTTAAAAAAAAAAACCCCCAGTGTTTTCCAATTATATTAATTTATGGTGACGCGCGCCATCGCGATGGTTTTTTACTCATAGAAATGTATGTTAGCGGAGCACTTCCGTAATCCCCCCGGATATTCATCGGGTTATTTATTCCCCCGATCAAGCTGATTATTCGGATTGATTCGCACCGAGAGGGGATATTATTCCGCTCGAGGAAGCCGTTATTTATATACGCGATACTGTATATACCCGGTGAATTTTCCTCGGTTTTAATTGCTCGAGTGCGGATCGATCCCGTACGCGTGATTTTCCATTCACGTGATATCGATTTCAAATAAATACCTGTACATATATATATATACACATATTTTTATATTATAGTGCTCTACGTCCGGCTCCTTTTAATAAGGGCACTAGTACTATAGGCACTTAGCACTTGGGGAAGGGACAAGGAAAGGGATGGGAGGCCTTCCATTACTGGGAGGGGGGTAGGGGGAAATTGGGAAATTTTTGCTGCGAGAAGGTCGCCTAAACCCTCCTCGAGGAGCATTGCGTGGTGAAAAAGCACATGTGAAAAATTTTACATTATATATACACCTCAAAAAATTCAGGAAGTACATAGGTACAACAATAAATAAGTTCTTTGTAATTCGCTTGGTTTGCGTTGTATTATTATCTTGATGGTATCCATTAGAGTCGTTTGAGTCCCCAAAAAGAAAACGAAATCATGTAAACGATAAAAAAGGGCCAGAAAAATCCGATGTTTAACCTCCCAAGCGCCGATCGCTGTATACTCTTGACTTACCATATACAGCCAGTAGCTTATTGTACGTAGCAACAATAAAAAAAAATGGTACACCCAGCAGATCCGAACAGCGAGCAAGGAAAAAAAAAAAAAAAAAAAAAAAAGAAAGAAAAGGTAAATCCACCTCTTGGCGAAAGTGGCTCGTAAAAGAATTATCGAGCTCCAGCCCCATTTGTAGCCAGTCACGGATAAGCAGAGCACAGCTGTTTGCAATTTTCCCTGGGTACGAGCGCGGGGAATTTGCCTTCCCTCGTGACGTACACACGTACACTTACCTATACGTGTACAAATCGATCGGGCCCTGTGTATTCCTCTTCTCGGTGAGCGAAAAAAGCGTACCCGGAAAAAGAGGAAGGAAAGAACAAAACCGAAAAGCGCACCGGAAAGAGAGAGAGAGAGAGAGAAAAAAAGAGCATGGCTGGCAGCAGTGCAGGCTCGATGAGCGCGTATAGCGGGGGGTGGGGGGGGGGAAGGAAAAAAAAAAGAAGCAATAAAAAACAAAAGTAGAGCACCGGAGTAGCCTTTAAGCGTGTCTTTTCTCTCCCCCCGGCACGCATGCAGGGGGTCTATATATATATTTTTTCCCACCCCCACCCCGTCCAGCTGTAGTTAATACATATACCTATCGAGTGAAATAAAGTCTATGTATATATATATGACGCGTCGAGAAAATGTATACCAAGTGCACGTATAGATCGAATCGCGCTGTACACCGTGAGCTCCTCTTTGACGCGCGTATCGGATGATGCGATGAAAATGTTCTCGGCTGCTCCTTTTTTTTTCTTCCTTCATCCCCGACTCGGTGGTATCAAATTTTATAAAAGTTAATTAAAAAAGTTTTCTCTACCCCCGGCGAGGCGGTGACCGCTGACGCGCGGAAAAATGACCCGCGATTCCTCGGCCGGCACAATAGAGGGAGGGCCAACTTTTTCCATCCCTGCCATCCTCTTTCGCCACCAAAAGCCAGGTATTTCGCGATCTCTTTGAGGATCGAAATCGCCGGTTGAAAGCTTCGGACCGTACACGCATTTTTTCAATCGACCCCCCCACCCCCCTCGAGAGATAGTCTCCCACCTGCTGGAATGAAATTTAATGAAAAATATCAGCGGTCCAGGTATCATAAAAACAAACACCAAGAGTAGAGAAGGGGTGGGGAGAAGCAATACCGCGGGAGTGCATTTTTCCGTATGGTATATGTATCCGCTGCAATGGGCAAGATAAACCCTCGTTGTGTTGCTTTCTGCGCGAGAGGAGTACAAAACCAAACAAACTGCAGTCAATTTTTTTTTTTTTTTTTTTTTTTTTTTATTTCAACGAAATACAGCGTAAATAAACAATGATGATAACAAAGGAAGGAAGGACGGAAAACACGATCGTTTGATTTTTCTATCTGTTTTCAGACGTTTTGCGTGGTATCGAAGAGGTTTCAGAAGAACTACATCCACCGGTTCACAGCGACCAAGAGCTGGTTCATCTTTTCGCCGTGGAACCCGATAAGGCGCTGCTGCATCTTCATTAGTACGAATCAGTTCTTCGATTACGTGGTCATGACCACCATTATATTAAACTGCGTCTTCCTAGCCATGACCGAGACTATCGAAGAAGCCGAGTAAGTTACCCCTCTGATATAAATTATATATACTACATAATTTTTTGTCCCTCAAATCTTGCAACCATAATCCCCGTATCAATACACATACAGCGGTGGGGGGGTAAACGGAGAAAAAGATTTTCCTGGCAGATATCATCGGGGGTGTAGGATTATATATACAGACACACTGTCGGAGGGGGGGGGGATAGAAAACAAGATGTATCTTTCCATTAGCGGGTGGGGCAAAAAAGCGCAGACGCATAGTCACCGCGAGGCATTTAGCGGCTCGTAAAGCTTATCGCGGTAAGGTAACGGCACACGCACCCACCCACCACATATATAGAGTATATATACACTATCGCGCGTGTCTCTTATCTCTCCCCCGCCCCTCGCGTTGTACGCGGTGCATGTAGGGGGAATAAGGGTCGCGCATCAAGGCTCGGGGGAGGCACGAGATAACGTACGGTTGCTCGCGGATTTCTCGCGGGATCGTAAAGCTCCGCGCGACACGCGATTCTCCGGGCCCAAACGCCTTTCTTTACTTCCTCGGTTGCTTTTCTCCACCTGATGCGTGCAAGTAAATAATCCTTTGTATTCTTTTTTTTTTTTTCCCCCCAACGCACCGAACTCGCATTAAATTAATTTACCCCACCTTTAATCGAGGCACAGTACAATAATCCTATATCGCGCTGTGACGAAGCCATTAGTAAAATCCGATACGCGAAGCGCCTCTTTGATGCGAAATTGCGCTCGCCGTTGATCCGATTAAACGCGCAGTCACCGGGTCACGGTTATCATTGGGCCGAGTAGTAGAGGCACGCGGGAGGGGTATCAGCGACGCCCTTCCGATACTACGCGACCCTTGCAATGAGAGATGTATATATGTATATACACTGCCGAGGCATGCATCGCCAAAGTTTGGCGGAGAATATAGCGGAGAGCGCGTGGATCGAAACTTTGGATTTTTTTTGTTTACCCCACGCACGAGCGGAGAAAGAAAGGGGAGTGAAGAGGACACTCTTGAAACTTTTTGACGATGAGCTTATGTATATGTACACTGTACAGCGACAGTGGGGCTAGTCGGACGATAATGACCCTCTTCTAACGCGACGACCGTATACGCTACGCGTGCTTTTTTTTGTTCACTCGCTCGGCTCTTCGGTACGGCAAAATTAAGTGTAACGAGGGCCTCGACATTTTCTCGGGCCGTATTAGTTTTTCCGCCCCAACCGTATGCATGAAAGGGGAATTTATTTTTAATTGGCAGCCCCTTGGGCTTTTCCTTACCTTTAAGAAATGTTTGTACAAATGTGGGGCGAATGCAAAAAGAAAAGTTACGAAATTCCCTCAGCGCAACTAAAAGACGCAGGTAGCATGAAAAAAAGACAAAACGCCCATCGGACGATCGGAGTTTCCAAAGTTTACCTGATTGTTTTATACATGCGTGGGAATCGTAAAAAAGTGCTTACATCTCGCTTCGGACGAAGGAGGGAAAATATTTTTCCCTCCACTCGCGGATTTTCATCTCCCGGTCCTAACGACCCGGCGGGCATAATAACCCCCGGACGGTAAATTCTTAATCCCCCGCTCGTTCCACGAGCATTGCGAAGAAGAGATCGAGAGTATATATGTATATACACGCAGTCCCGGGGAAAAAGGCCTAATTAGCGTTCCATCGAGGCTTGAAAAATCTTGGCCCAACTTTACCCCCCGTACCTCGGCCGGATTAATAAAATTTCCCCAGCCCACCGTAGCTCCGAACGAAAAGGTACATATAATACACGTGCACGCGTTTCAATATCGATCCCCGTTTCGGTCGTGCGCGATGGTACAGCCGAAGCTGCTGACCGAGTCGTGTGGGCGGAAAAAAAAACCCGCTGACCAGCTGCACGCGCGGCTGAGCAAGTTAATCGCGCCAGGATTAATATTGACCCTCGTCGCGCGCGTCCGCGTGATTTGTCCATTCTCCTCTCTTCGACCGTCCCATCCGCGCACTCAAGACACGAAAAAGGTCGCTCGCGTCGCCTTTGTATACGTATGATATGCGTTGCGTGGGGCGAAATCAAGCTCGGGGGTCCCTTTTTCGAGAACCACTCGGGGGTGGGGAGAGGGGCACTCAAATAATCTTGTTTAACGGCGAGTTTACGTGATTTTTGCGATCATTCGTCATGATGGTTTTAACGATTTATATAGTTGAAACATCAATCAATTGAATCGTAACAATTATGCGTGGCATATTTACCTAGTCATCGGTAAATGTTTGCTCGATTGATCGGATACTACCGAATCAATGCAGCTCTAGTGTGAATAATCGATGCAAATTCAAAGATTTTATCGCGTTGCATGTGTATGAAAGTGTGCCGTGAATAATATCCAAAGTATAGCTTTTTTGGGTTTTAATATATTCTCCCAAGATCTACATGTACTTTTATTCGTGTGAGCTGCTCTACGTGGGCTTAATACTATTGGCAAACGCATTAGCACGAAAGAGACAAATTTCCGTCCTCGAGTGGGGAGGGCTGCGGGTAAAAAATTTTAATTTTCCAAAAGCTTCTCCGAGGGTGTGCGCACCCAATGGGGAATTACGAAATGCGCCTCGGGCAAAGCAGCTTTGGCTGTAAAAATATACTTCGGTGTATTATTGTGTGCCGGGGCGAAGTTTTGATGGTAAAATGCCCTAATCGTTACTTACGGCCTTCATTTGGAGATGGAATTACAAGTACAACGGAGCACCCCCCTCCCCCCCCTAAGAACGCGTTTATATCACCCAACTTTTTAACGAGTCGGGCTGGGACATTTTACGCGCAGCGCTAATACATTACTGGGAGTCGCGTGAGTGGCAAAACTTTCCGAATCCCTCCTTCCCTTTTGGAATCACGATATTTTTATGGCGTGTTGTTTATCCCTACGCTCACTTTGAAAAACCAAAGACTCTGTACTTTTGTTCGATTTTACCAAGTTTACCAGTTGGAACACATTAAAGTGTCGCAATTTTTTTTTCTTTTCTTACAAATTAGAATATAAAAGAAAATCAAGCGCTTATATTATTCATAATTACTGGAAAACCATTTCAAGATTATTTCGTGACTCGTACAGTCGTAATCGAAAATAAGGTGAGAAATGGAGCATTTTTCAATATCTTTTGATTTTTTCAATAAACCCCCATGAAAAATAGTGTCAAACTAGTGGTTCGGAATAAAAATGTTGTCACGTTAATTAGAAACTCGAGCCCCGCAACATATAGATTGTAATACTGACACGTGGTGATTGATTAACATGGACGATGACGATGGCAAATTTTAACTTTGCAGATATATCTTCCTAGCCATCTACACGGCCGAAATGGTGGTAAAGTCCATAGCCAAGGGATTCATCCTGAACAAGTACACGTATCTGAGGAATCCGTGGAATTGGCTGGACTTTGTGGTAATAACGAGCGGATACGCGACCATAGGCATGGAGGTCGGCAATCTCGCCGGTCTCAGGACGTTCAGGGTACTGAGAGCCCTTAAGACTGTTTCAATTATGCCAGGTAAGGATGACGGCAAACAACCCCGGCACTACCTCTATACATATACGTATACTCTTCCTCCTCTGCTTTCATAAATCAAAGCACTCCACCAGCGTCGTCCTTACGTACCGTAGCGCCACCCGGCCTTTAATAACTTAGTCATTGTCGTGCTTGCGGGACCCTCCTCGAGGGGTATTAATGTGTACAGAGGAGGAGTCTGCTTCGCAGGTTAATTAATGATTTGTTTGATGACACGAGGAGCCGAGCAAATAGAGAGAAAACCCATTGAATACGGGTGCGATTCTCATGGACTCGGATGCTGGGGCGATGAGAAACTTTGTAGTTGCTCAGTACTGCATGTCCCATAGCTGTACAGGGGTGTTATTGTAAATGGTTAAATTGTTGCGACAAAAGCAACGCGATACGCTTGGTTCTTGCGTGCAGACTATCGATTGCGTTACCGTATCCGATTACCGGTTGCCGTCCTATCAGCCCACCAATGATGATAATTACAGCCAAAATAGAAGCAGCTCATGGTGCACGCATGCATGCGAATAGTGAAAGTTTACGTCACGGTTTACATCTCTACATTTTCAAAGTCTCGGCCATTATACCGAGCAAAGGGCTCCAAAGGGTTTTTACTCAATTTATAACTGGGTTAGAAAAACTTACGGAATAATATATGTACACGTATTTTTTTGTTTCCATTTTTTTTTTTTTTTTTTAGATGAAGTTTCGAAAATGTACTCGGTGGGGAAGTTCATTTCTGAGGATAGCGCTACTCCATTTCAATTCCATTTCCACATTTTGTAGAATAACACTCGCCGATTTCCACCGCGTGCGTATATATATATATATACACGCCATTTCGAGCTACACTCGCGCAATTAATTCCTTACGCGTTTGAACTCTCAAACAGCACTCAAACCATCGTTTGCGATGCTTAATTTAATTGCAACCCTTTTCTGCGCGCCAAAGGGGGAGTAATGGAATTTTTAAAAAAAAGGGGGGGAGCGGACGGCGATGCAATGATGATTATTATTAACACAATCAGCGTCTACAGGGAAAACGTATAGAGGTAGACACCCGATGTATCATCGAGAGCACGTATACACCAGCTTCTCTGAAATTACTGTACGGTGTCGGTATTAGCGATACATGCATATACATATACATATACACAAAGGGAGTGGGACATATGCAACTGGACCGCCTGTCCTTTATCATTATTATTATTACCATTATTAATATTCTCGGAGGCGCTTGGCGCTCCCGATCCTAAATCAATTACCGCAACGCGTCCCCGGAGCTCCAGAATATACACTCGGGTGCCAAGAACTTTGCGCTCTCTTCTCTCTCTCTCTCTTTTCCACTGTGCGGTTATTTTTTTTTTTTTTTTTTTAGGGGGTAGTCACCTGCTTTTTCGGGGTCGAGTGTTCTTGTTTGTCTTTTTCTCCCTTCACGGGGGTTGTCGTCAGCTTCGCTCGCCTAATTAATTCGAGCTAGTCGAGTTCTTCAATTACGGGTGGAAAGAAATACTCTCGCCCTAGTGCCGAGCCCCGGAGGAGGGACGACTCGATTTTGGGTACGCGCACATGTAGTTTTATTGCATGGGAAAGTCGGTAAGGTAATCAAATTTGGGGGAGTATTATAATATTCCCGCTGAAGAAAAAAAATGTCACTCGAAGATGTCGGGCAAGTGAAGAATTTGTACAAAAAGATGTTTTTCCAGTCTTTTTTCCTTAGTCGCGTTTAATTCGCCATCCAAAGAGCGGAAAGTTGGGGAAAAAAATGTAATTCCCATCCGCCGTGACACACGCTGTGCGGTATTTGACGTCGGTAATGTATATACATACATACAACTGCAACGTTTTCTCTAATCTTAATTGAGTTTCGGTCGATTTCCTGGTACCCTCGGCAGCATCAACTCGATTGGATCTCCAATTAAACATCCTTCCCTAAACCCGGGACCCGGATTTCCCGCTCGAACGAGTTTTTTCTCTCATCGTTCGCCGAGTCCCCCGCGAGCACGCGATTACCTTCTTATACGTACACATCTCGAAAGTTTCGTATGTTTCATATATTATATATAAATAGTACGCGATTTTCCTGTAATATAATATCATACTAAAGGTGAAGGAAAAAATTTAATCTTCGTTCCGTCTCAAGTAGGTACACCAAACACCAGGTGAATCGAACCGAGTCAATCCGATAAAATAAACCGAGACGTTGAAAAAAAAAAAAAAACCCACCCCCAGAGCTATGTGTCCATACCACCCGGCCAGTATAATTGACAAAGCTCGATCAAGCCGGTTCACGCGTGACTTTACCAACAATCCCCGTAGGCATCGGTACCGAAGCAAACAGCTAGCGACTCGATTAGCTGCATATACATATCTCGCCGCGACGGCGCGCCCATGCAGAGCTGTCTTTTGTCGCCAGCCGTTTTTTCCCTCCACACGCTCGCACACGAAGAGGGGGAAAAAGTAACGAAAAGACGGGGGCGAGAGCGTATATGATGCAGCTGTATTGTATACATACATGTATACCGGCAATAGATCCTCCAGTGTGGCCTGTGCCCGTTATTTTCGCGCTTCGACAAAAACAAGCCTTTTATTGAAGAATCCCGGCTAAAGCAACAATCCCCGCGCCCCGGCCGATATGCAAAACCCTATCTACGTACATACAATAGCTGACCGTGCAATAAAACACGCCCTCGGTCTCTCGCGTTTTCGGAACGTCGATTGCCTCTTCTTCTTTTTTTTTTTATTTATCGAGTTGCCATCGGCTCGAGCCGTGTGTTACTTTCGTAACGGGCCATTAATATTTTCGGACGCCCACCGATAACCCATTCATATACATATATAGATACGTAGGTGCAAGAAAACAATCATCCCTCACACCTGTTGACCGCTCTCTTTCTCTCTCGGTCCCGGTTGGGGGACAAAAGTTTTTTACTCTCTTGAAATCCAATGAAGGGGCCAAAGAAGCTTGGACACCCGTTGTCGTGACACTGGGAAAAAAAAAAAAAAAAAAAAAAAAAAAAAAAAGGCAAACACGCCCAAACTATTAATATTCATCGCGTGGGCGCCCACTCGTGTTACGCGCGTGCATGTACCGAGTCTTGCCGATGATGTTTGCCAAAACTGCTTTCCCCACCGATACGACATCGGATGTTTTCGTCCGTAAGATTCATTCGGCTTGAAAACCAGATTTACTTCCTCGACCTGGAAAGACTGTGTTACAGCTTGTTCGACAAGTCAGCACTGGGAAAAAAAAAAAAAAAAAAAAAGTTAGCCATTTGTTTACGCGTATAGGGAAATGCAAAGGAGGAGCAGGAGCTTGGAGTAGTTGTGCAGCGATGAGGAGCTCTGTGTGGGTGTAGATGATAAAAAGTCGCCAGTGGATCCTAGGACTATGGAGAGCTGGCTGTTCAAGAGCTACGGATACGGCAGAGCGGAATGGGCGGGGGGAGAAAAAGTACGAGGATATATATATACCCGGGGCTTATCGGAAGGCTATAAGCTACTGCTCTCCCCGTCGTCGATGGAGAGAAGCGAGTCCGTGGGTGTACATATATCTGTTGCAGCTCTGATTACACGGAATTGTTCGCTCTATATCGGTTCTTTCCTTTTTTCCTCTCGCCAGGAATTTATTGGTCGGATGATAAAGAAAGCTGGATGCTTTTATGCAATGTTCAAGTTTATGAAATCAGAGTGCCTTTCTTTTTCGATTTGGGGGTACCAAGCGAGCGCCACGTTATTTGTTGGTCCAGGGCATAGAGAAAAACCAAGGTCCGATTACAGCTTTTAAAAAGTGCCGCCACTCGACAGCCGTACTTTTTTTTACAAATTTTTCGCGCGCCAGAGACGGTAAATTAAAATTGCACGCTACAATATAAATTCCATCATATCACCGTCTCCGGGAAGTGCGAATAAATTGCGGTACTCTCGAGCTCTCGATGCTTCTTTTTTTTTTTTTTTTCTCATTCCTCCCTTTACGAGCCAGCGTTTATCATACAGCCCATTGAAATTTATTATTCCAGAAAGCGCATCGCGTTCATCATCCAATTTGAACCCGTGCCCAAATATGCGTACAAATTCATATCGGTTTAACATCATCTTGGACGAGGAAAAAAGATATGCGGTTTAAAAGATGGCTTGCACATACATAGGTATACAGTTACGATCTCGGGAAGGGGGGGGGGCTACTTTGCGTCATTTCACGCTTCGGCGCTCAACATCTCAAGTGTCGCAAAAGGAAAATGGGAAAAAATCGATACACCGTCCTCGCATCCGCGCGATACGTCAGGTGCGACGGTATCCGCCCCCTCGACTGTGAAATTCCATATCTGCGCGCAAATGTACATATATATATATACATCTCGTGTCTCGGAACATCGGCAAAGGCGGTGGCGCAAAAAAGGCCAACGACAGCAGTACAAAAATATACAGTACACGAGGTTTTCGATATCTATACGTATATACATACGTACAGGTACACGTGCCTCCTCGTCGCTTTGCATTTTTAATATCCCGCAGTGCTGGCGTCGAAAACTTTTCTCATAAAGTTGGCCGTCGCGGCTCCGCACGACACGGCTGTTTTCCCGCTTTTGATGCTCCTCGGACCTCTATTTTGTTTTTTTTTTGTTTTCTTCTTGTTTTCCTCCGTCTATTTTGTGTTTCGAGCGTTTTTTTCTCGCTCTCGGAGGCACCGGCGCGAAAATTAGTCGGTAACTTTGTTCGCCGGTCTCGATCCATCCGACTTATTTTCTGGTTTAATTACCGCGCGCCTCCGAAAACCCCCCGCTGACGAGACCCAGACGGTTGTAGGCCGCAAGAACCGACTGCTCCGGGGGGGGGGGGGGGCTGTACCAGCCAAGTTTTGCCGCTGCTTCGTTAAGGCCTTTGGGGCCGTTCTCGTGTACGCGCGCCTGTCGCCTATACGACGTGCGTCTTGTCAAGCCCCGAGAGTCTGTCTGTCCTCCTCTTGGATAAGGGGTGAAAATACTACACCCCGTCGGGGTTAACTTTGCTGCCAGTATATATGTATATGTACTCGCTGGTTCGCAGTAGTCTAATAGTTTTACGAAAATAATCATACAAACGTATGTTTTTGAAAAATGTAAGGGAACTTGCCGCGTTGACTTGTGCTTTTTTTACCCCGTAAAATTATATTCTCATTAATTTGCGCAAGTAAACGTTCTTCACGCGGTACTTGTCGCGTAATTGCGTTGCCCGAATAATTAGTGCAACTTTTGGCTTTGCTGCGTTTTGAAAGATTAAACGCTCGCAATTAAAAGTTAACAACGTTTGGGGAACCTCGTCGGTCGAGAGTTTGGGGAAATAACGAAAAACAAGGATTTTCCACGACGAAACCTCGAAAAGGTCGGGTTTTTGGGGGAGTTGCGGTGCGAGCGGCGACGGAACCCATTTTTGCTTCCCCCTATAAGCGAATGATTATTGCGCAGCTTTTACGTGGATTCCTCCAGGAGCTGTTGCGCGACTACTCGCAGGATCCATTCGGGAAAAATAATTACATAAAAGAGGCCGGTTCTCAGTAGCAAGGCGTAATTACGTTTCAACCATCAAAGGTGCTCTTTGGCGCCGAATTTCCAGGAGACCGAGCAATCTCGATGCAAATGTATATAATTATATTATGGCGCCTATACGCACAGAGAGACAGAGAGAGAGAGAGAGCCAAGGAGTATTAATTCGAGAAAATAGGGGCAACGTCCAAGTCGAGACTCTGCAATCGAGTCGATTTGACTTTTGTGCCGTATATAATCCAGAGTCCAAAATTAGATTCCGCGGAGAGGGTGTACTTGGACCATTTATATGGCACCGATTCGATTTCCGCGATGCTTTTAAAGGACGTCTTTATTTTCACAGGCTGCAAAAGCCCCAAAGTTATTCAAAGCCGCGAGTGCGCAGATGAATTTACAGACGCGCGGTGGGTTTTATTTTCCAAGGGAGGAAAAAAAAACCATCGCATCTGCAACCGGCGGATAAAGTGAAGCGCGACTGAGAAATGGGAAAAATAAGACACAGCAGTGGTAAGAAACAGTGGCCTCGAGGACCAAAGAGTCTGGTAGGGGGGAAGTAAAAAAAACTACATTCACTCTGTTACCCAGTTGCGCGTGTATACACATGTACAGTTGGTGTACCCACTGCAAATTTCATCCGCACCGTATTAATCCTTGGCCCCCGGCTCGTTTGCCAAGCTCCCCCGCTCGTAACGTGTACATATATATATATACACATATTTTTATATTATAGTGCTCTACGTCCGGCTCCTTTTAATAAGGGCACTAGTACTATAGGCACTTAGCACTTGGGGAAGGGACAAGGAAAGGGATGGGAGGCCTTCCATTACTGGGAGGGGGGTAGGGGGAAATTGGGAAATTTTTGCTGCGAGAAGGTCGCCTAAACCCTCCTCGAGGAGCATTGCGTGGTGAAAAAGCACATGTGANATATATATATACACACACGACCATCACCGCGGACGGCACTAATCAGGGTTAATTGCTCGCGTATACGTGCGGTCGGCCGGGGAGCGCCGGTCCGAACGGACCAGAAAGTGAAAATCCGAGGCAAATTGGATCAAAGTTTCGGCTTAATGTTTTCGCCGAGATCACACGTTATAATGGCACACGCGTGCACGAGAGATAGAGGATGATGCACTACGCCCCAGTGGAGCGGACTCTCTGACGTGTATATATGTACATAAACATTTTTTTGGCAGAGCTGCCTGCAGTTGGCAAATAGAATTTCGCCCCGGATGGGCTGCACTTAAAACTTGGAGGTTCCATGCGAGGGATATTTGCAAAAGGGGGGAGTATGGTTTTTTGGTTTCGATCAATGATATCTCCCCCGCGTAAGTATATGTACCTACAACTAATCTCTCGAAGCGCGAAATGTAGGATGATATTGTAAAACTCAATGCCGGTCAAAATCGCGTTACAAGTTTTCGCAGCCGCTGTACAACACCACCACCTCGCTCGGTCTTCCACCAACAACCCCTGCAGTCTACCGTTCTCTCTTGGTCCATCAGATCTAATATAATATATTGCATTCGCTCGAAAGCCAAGCTCGGGGTGTCGTCTCGTACATGGCGTTGCTCTCGAATTTATCGCGGGGTGTATGCATCTATACCTATCGGCTGTCGTTACCGGGGGGGGGGGGGGGGCACAAAGAGAGAGAGACTCGCCGCGTCGTTAACGGGTGTGTATAGGTATTGCGTGTACCATCCCTGCAGGAGTTACCGGTCAGCCGTACACTTGTCTCTCGGCTCGCGTACACCGCGGGAGGGAAAGGGAGCACCTCGCCATCACGGCACTGTATACGATCATGTACAAGAGCCGGCTGTATCGATCTGTCCAAGACGTTAGCCGCTCGAGAGAGCAAGGGACGGCGTAATAAATGTACACACATAGCAGAGCTTTACTTTACGCCCGGCCCCCGCTATCTGCATACATATACGACCCGCAACGTGGATATAACGAGGAAGGGAGATAGGGAGCGCTTCCGAGTATACGTATATACATGTAGGGTCGGTGAAAACGGCCGCAGATAGACTCTCCCCTCGTCTTCCCTCACACCCGCCTATACACGGTATACCTATTAACATACATGTATATTATGTGTATAGTAATACAGGTATTATATGAGGCGAATCGGCAGTACATGCATACACATGTACATGTATACCGTGTTTACAGCCGTAAGTGTCCCATTGAGTTAATTATAACGATAGGGAACTATACAACCCCCTCCCCTCCCGCTCACCCCATTGTATGCAATTACCGTTGGCTTATCCTTGAAGATCAGACCCCCTTGAACTTGTCGGTGGTGTATATACATGCGCCACCACCTAATCGCCCTGATATGGCGTATCCCGTGTACGCGCGCAGAGATTATAATTACGGTGTTGTCCAAATTTATACGTGTACCCGTATGAGTGGATATAAAATGCTCGATGCGCGTCTACACGTTGCATGGCTTTGTCACCCATATACATGTACTCGATGAAGAAAAGGTTCAGTTATATGTACTGGCGCACACCAACATCTGATGTATGTGTACAGCACAATGAAAGCCCAAAGGTCGGTCGCGATGCACACGTGATTGCAATCTTCATCCGGGTTACTGGGTATATATGGTTAGACACACAGACCCACACAACATGTACGTGGGTGCTCTTTCAAATGATTTCTTTCTCTCTCGATGAACTCCTGCAAACGATGCGGTTACGAACTGCATACACCTATACACACGATCGGTGGTGTAAGTAGCACACGCATTAAGCCATAGGGGTCTTCGGTGCATATATACATTTATCACGCTCGAAGCTATATAGTATAGTAGGAGAGTGGGTCAATGGCACGTAAATGTGCGTGCACGCCTGCAATATAAATACAGGCTGAGCTTGCGCGCGGTTATTCTTGTATGCATCGAACACTCTGGCGTGTCTTTAATCATCCCTCTATGCGAAATCGTGTCGCCTATTGGGCTTTTTTTTCCCCTCCCGTGTAATAAAGTACTTGAATTAAAATCTCCGTGTGTACACCTGTGCTAGTCGCGTTGAGCTTTAGCTGTATGGAAGTCGCCGCGGCGTGTGCTATACGCTCCAATTAAGGAGGTGTAGAGTGCACGGTGTTGATTTTTTTTTTTTTTTTTCTTTTTTATACCTCGACGCTCGGTGAATTTGCATCACTCGATCGAACGGATGCGCTCGCAAACACGCGTAATCCGTGTGATGATGAACAACAAAAACAATAAAAATAAAAAAAAACGGATGAAACTCCGCACAATGGAGCAACGATACCCCGCCGTTTAACTAGCCGCGTAATCACATGAAATATTCATCGAGTTCGTGGATGCGATCAGATATGGCGAAGGGGCAACAAAGCTAGCCGAGAGAGAAAATGGGACGGGCTGCAGATGCTAGAAAAACAGCCTCGGTGGTACGAGAAACTCGACTATTCCATCGGCAATTTGCATAAATCCTGCGGCGGCGAGCTTTATGTGTATATAGGCTCCTTCATCGGGTCTGCACTCGAGCGGCCAAGAGTCGAGGATCCTCCTGTAGGTATATACTACAAAGTCACTCGGGAAACCGGTATGGGGAGGGACCGGCTCTTCAGGGCGTCCTAATTTAATGCCTCGGCCGAAAATGAGCCGCTAAAGCAAACTTTGCGCCGAATAATTTCGAAAAGTGAAGCAAAAAAAGTGCGCGATTTATCGTTCGTTTAATTGTTTGTTCGGGCTCGTCAAATATTTGCTTTGCTGCGTGAAATTCGCCCAAAGGGAAACCGTGCCATGTTTCATATCGGAGTTTCACCCCTCAATTTCACTACGGCCATGTAAAAGAAAAAGTATTTTTAAAAAAGCATCACGAGCACAAACAATTTTTCCAATTGTCCGTTAAAAGAATCTACGGCGCGGGCGTAGGTTGATTATAATTGCAAAGTTTGGAAAATAGGGAGACTCGCGGTATAGGGTTTACGACCAATAAATGCGGAAACGTAACTCCATATGACATTATATGTGTGCAAAAATATATATAAGTGGAGTAATATGCCCGAGGATGGTATGATGTGATGATAATAGTTGCCGTTGATTCCAGGGCTTAAAACCATCATCAACGCGCTGCTGCACAGCATAAAACAGCTCGCCGAGGTAATGACGCTCACGATCTTTTGCCTGATGGTTTTCGCTCTCTTCGCCCTCCAGGTGTACATGGGCGAGCTCAGGAACAAGTGCGTCCGGCACATGGAGCCCAACGCCACTGCTCAGCTGGACTGGCACGAGTGAGTCTCTTTTCACCCTTTGCATTGAATTTTCGACAAAGTAAAGCGATTAATTTCCCGGTCAGACTCCAAAGTTATTTTTCTCGTTGCTCTCCGTAGTCCCCCGCTCGTACGTATAAACAGCCTCGCTGTAATCACAAGGGGCGCGCGTGTATCGTACACCGTGTTTCTCAATGACGGGGCGCTTCTCTGCCACCCCCTTTCACAATGGAAGATACTACACGGGAGAAAGCACGAATCATCCTCTACACTGCGCCTGTCTCGCAGCTTTCTTGTTTGCCGAGAGCCGGCCTCTAAGGGGTGAGAAGGCTCTTTCTTCCAGCCCCGCGCAACTCGCTTAATGATAAAAAGGGGCGCGCACGGGCGATTATCCCCCCCCCCCAACTGGGAGTTCCGGGCTCGGTAATCGGTACACGATTTGACGTGTTTGCCCAGTTGACTAAACATCCGTGTAGGTGTACTTTCGTGGCCTCGAAGTAAAAATACTTACCCCAAGTTCCATTCCGTGAGACTGGAGCTCGCACAACGGGGGGTGGTACGTGCCATTAATACGACAATGGCTTCTGGATGTGTATAAGCAGCGGCCAGTGCAAACGGGATGAAAAATTCAGTCTCTTGGCTCGGCGCTCGTTCACTATGTCTTTCTTCCAACAGGTGGACCTGGAACTCGTCCAACTGGGCGTTCAACGAGGACGAGGAGCCCATCATCTGCGGAAACGTCACCGGAGCCAGGTCGGTAGTCGTTTCTTACCCTCCCTTTTTTTTTTTTCTCTCCAAAACTCGTTCGCGAAGGAACAAATATATCCGTACAGCTTCGAGGGCGATAATTCGCACGCATTGTTTATACACGAGGGTGTCCACGCGGTTAATCGATCGCAGGGACGAGCCGGAAAGGCAGAGGCGGCACTAATCGGATCTTCCGGAATGCCACGCGGTAGTGCCCATTAAAAAAAAAAAAAAAAAAAGGCGCGGTATAAATCTAGCAGGCGTGCGACTGGCTAAAGCCGCGCCGACCACTCTTGCTTTATCGTCCGGTCGCACTTGGCGCTACGTAGTACAAGCAAGTAGTAGAGCTCCGCGTACGGTCAGCCGTATATTTTCCCGGGAGAAAGTGAATCGGCTACCCCCCACTGCTTCCAAAGTCTATTAATTACCCGTTCAAGTGCCACCCCCCCCACCCCCACCAACCTTCCTTGCTTTATAAATTAATTATATATTATACATCCGAGTGGCACGCGTGCGCGAGTAATGAGATGCGAGATTCGAAGCTGTACGCCTCTGCTTCTAGTATTGGATAAGCGTCAAAGTTTCGGGTTTAATCGACTGTGCCGCGTATGCTGATTAATTGTTTTTCTCGAGCTATAAATCGTCGCGAGTACAGCGGCGGGGCCAACTTTTACCGTATTTATCACAAGGAAAACATAATCTCCCGAAAAAAAAAATAAACAAAAAAAGTTCTCGACGCCCGTCCCAGGGATGAAATAATATATACGGACTGTCGAAAACAGCGAGAAATAAAATTAAATGTTATTACACCCTCGTTTTTTACAACTTTTATTTGCACTTGTATCGATTTCACGCGCCCATCGAGGAAGGAAATCGTCGTGTAACTAGCAATTACCGCGGAGCCAAGGGAAACCGAGACAATTTCCCGCCGATAAACATTTCGCGCGTACACGCCACCGACGACACTCTATACATACATCACACGTATATGCATGGCGCGCTACCCTTGATACTTTCGACTCGCTGGCACGGCACCCCGAAAATCGGATGATCCGCGGCACTTGGTTCTCGCAGCTGTGACTAAAAAACACGGCCCACTCGCTGAAGCGGAAGAGGGTTTTGCGCCAGCGACGGTAAAAGTTGCCAGGCGCTCCTGTTTTTTCCTTTAACTTACCGGAAGCGCGAATTCGCGACGAGAGAGACGCGAAAGGGGACGTTATGTATATATTTTACAAATTGTGTGCGCAGGCACTGCAACGAGAGCTACACGTGCCTCTGCGTGGGCCCGAATCCGAATCACGGGTACACCAACTTTGACAATTTTTTGTGGTCGATGCTCACCACCTTCCAGCTCATCACCCTCGACTACTGGGAGGACGTGTACGACAAGGTACGTCGATCCACCATACCTGCAGCTTTTTCGAGCTATGTGTATTTACCCCCATTATTATCGTGCAGTGTTTTGCGTCTGTGCTCCACGGCAATGGGGGCCGGTCGATGATTGATGGCTCGTTTGTTTCGCTCAGCCGGTCTCCATTCGACGGCCTCATTAGAGGGATTTTGCCGGGTGATTTCGGGGTTTGATTATTTTTCCATTAATTTTGGATCCCTCGTATACCTTTTCAATTTTTTTTTTTTTTTTTTTTTTTTTTACAAGCCATGCAGTTCGCAAATGCGTTATCAGCGTCGTTCACGAGATGATATTACGCGGCTAGTTTCCTCGCGGTTGGTCATTAAGTACGGCCGTACGTGTGTGATGAATAAGTTTCATTAATTTTGACGTCTTTCTTTTGCCCGGTTGGGCTGAATAGACTCGTGGAAAGGAATGACTCGTAGTTGGATATAATGAATACCCATGATGATATCGCGAAGGGGAAAAAAAAAGAATAATAATAATAATAATGAATTTCATCCCCAAAAGGTCTTGTCAGCCTGCGGTCCAATAAGCGTCACGTTCTTCACGGTCGTCGTGTTTTTTGGTTCTTTCTACCTCATAAACCTCATGCTCGCCGTCGTAGCGCTAAGTTACGAGGAAGAGGCCGAGATCACAAACGAGGTAAGAAAAGTACATATACATACATATTTTATTTTTTAACGATTGAAAGAAAAAATAAACGATGACTCGCACGTGAGTTGGACGTGTAATTTTTTTTAAAAATCACTCCACGAAACTCGCATCGATCCAGATACGTATATGTATACGTATAACAGAGCAGCCGTTCATTAGACCGCTCGTCGATATAGAGAGAAAACAGCGTTGGAAAAAGCCTGTATCGATCCACCAGCGGGTAAAAAGAGAAAAACCACGCGAAACAAACCCCCGTTCTTTCATCTGCTCCCGTGCGCACACATGCACGTCAAAAACATGCTCGAAAAAGAAAAAAACAAAGCCCAGAGTCAGAAACGCACGGGAGCAGTCTAATTACGAAGCCTCGGCTCCGCACATGGTTGTCGCGTGGCAGCGATCGAGCGCCACGCGCTTTCATCGGACGGATTCGAGGGAAAAACGATTTCACGTATCGCGACCGGAAGATCTAAAAGCGCGACCGATGTAATTGCCCGGCTGACTTTGACGAATGATCTTTTCCTCTCCGCGTTCGACAATCCAATGGAGCCGTGTCGGGGGGGGGGGGGCTTGAGAAAGCGTATCGACACCGCTGTCGCGATGGTTTAACCCTCTCTGTTCTTGCGGCGAGAGATACGTTACGGGGTGCGCGTGTCGAATGAGGGGGTAAGAGTGGTAGTCACACGCTTGTTTCGTCGCAGGAGCGGAGAAAGGACCTGACCGACCACCGCGAGGATTCGACGTTCAGCTTCGACCCGACCAAGATCAACATCAAGACCTTGACGAAGGAGAAGCAGAAGAAAATTGACGCGCGCAAGGGTGTCCTGTTGAGCAGTTACTCGCGCAAACGGACCAGGAGAAGAAAGCGCGGTCGGAGCACCGTCGGGCACGAGAAAAACGAGGGACAGCGCAGCAGGTGATCACGACTTTTGCTCGACAAAACATTCCAAATTACTAAATTAGGCAGCTATTGGCTTTTTTCTTCATTCTGCTCGCACTGGGTAATAATACATTATGTCGAAGAAGTCGGAGGCCGATTGTCGTCGGGCGTCGATCTTCGCGTCACGCTATCGGAGCTGCGGCTCCGTTATTATTACCCGGAACTGCTCGACTTCTCGGCTGGTTGATTTTTTCCACGCTGTGTTTTTTTTTTTTTTTTTTTTTTTCACCCCTACAATCTTTCCCAGCCACGCCACGATGCACACAATAAATTTAGCCGTTTCTTCGCTCACTCGTCTCGGCGAGTGTAGCCTACACACGAGCCGTGTCAGGGTAGGCGCGCGATTATCGATTGCGCGAGCTTTACGGCTCTATTTGTCCCCAGCGCCGGTCTAGCTTGTTGACTGCTGTGTTACTTTTGTTACTTCAGTCCCTCGAGGTTTGCTATTTTTTTTTTTTTTTTTTTTTTCGTAATTTTGTATCTCGCGGGCTAGCCGACCGTGTGCAGTTGCGTGGCTGCTAGTGTTTTGGAGTAATCACTCGGGTTCGGGAGGAATTATTTTCGTGGTCTCGTTAAGTCTTCGAAGAGGCAAGTTTTTACCTGAAAAAGATTCAAGTTTGGCATAAGCTTTTCAAATCTTTTACAGATAACAATCAAACACTTTCAAAAATGAAGTGCCCAAAAATTGGCTTGTAACTTTTTTAATTCCCAATATTTTTATGGAGCATCAAAAATTTTTTAAAATAATATTTACAAAAGTTATTGAAAGTCCCAAGAATACATTGAATACTATAAGAAATACCGAATGGATATTATTCAAGAGCCAATTTTTAAAAAATCTTTGCCAAATTTAAATCTTTCTTCGCGAATATTCTCTCGAGGTTAATCAAAATTAGACACCGTCTTCCATACGAAATATAATGGCAATACAATTCCGCGAGAAAACAAAAATAAACTCAGTTCAGGTGGCACCTAATGCAAGTTAAAAATATCCCAAGCGGCCGATGGTAATTACATTGGCTTATAATTGAACAGCTCTTGATTTAAACTTGCACTTCGATGAAACAAAAATCTCGAGTATTGCATTACGACTGTTGTGACTCGATTAAAATCGCGCTGCATCAATTTTGAAACCCCACATTTCAACGCGAAAGCCAAAGCCCTCCTCTGATCGATATCTAATTAACTTGACAGCGGTATACTCACAAGGGAGGTGGTTTTGCCTTTTGCTTCGATAAAAATGTCCCACATGGCACGACTAAAGTGATATATAAAAATGGCACCTTGGCCAAAGCGATGATGAAAAAAAAAAAAAAAAATGTCGACCGCGAAACAGGTCCGTGACGCCCAGTCCAACGCCGAGTCCGCGGCACTCGGGCGCCCGGCCGTCCCATCTGCCCCTCCAGCAGTCGACGCTGCAGAACCAGCACCAGCAGCACGTGGCAGCTACCGAGCAACGACAACAGCAAGGAGGAGGGCCCCCGAGGCAAGCGGCCCCCGAGAGCAACGTCGTCCACCGGCTGGCCCCTCGCAACATGTTGCAGTCGCGGCAGGCGAGCAACAACAGCAACCAACAGTCCTCGATGGACGACTCGGGCGTCGTCGACGACCACGACGGCGAGGACGTGACCTCGGCCGAGGAGCACGAGCGCCGCGATCAACACCATCGCGAGCACCGGCTCCAGGAGCGCCACCACCTCGACAAGCGCAAAAAGCTCCAGCAGCCGGACACGCGGGCCCAGGAGTACCCCGGCCCCGTCGCCATTTCCGTGAGGACGAGCAACCGGGAGATCCGCGTTCTCAGGTGCAACGGCATCAAGAACAAGAAGAAGCTCTACTCGCTGCCCCCCGAGTACCTCTCGCACATTGTCGTTTTAGGTACGGTATACAATATAGGGATTGATCGGTTTGATGATGATTGTTGCCAACATTTTGTGACTTTGGTACAGATGATCTGCCGGACCGGAACTGCGACCGGTGCATACAGTGCTGCGCCGATTACGAGGGATGGCTGCGCTTTCAGAACTGCTTGTACAAGGTATACACATTTACATGTATTAATTGTTGCGAGAGGAGAAAAAAAAAAAAGGACGATAAATAACACCGTTACGATGGGCAGGTTGTGCGGGATCCGCTGTTCGAGCTGTTCATAACCCTGTGCATAGTGCTGAACACGTTTTTCCTGGCCGTCGAGCATCACGGTATGAGCGAGTCGTTGCGGCAGTCCTGTACTATCGCGAATCGAGTCTTCACGAGTATCTTCACATTCGAGTGCTTCCTCAAGCTGATGGCCCTGAGCAAGGATTTCTTCAACAACGGCTGGAACGTCTTTGACTTGCTCGTCATGTCCGCGTCGCTGGTCGATCTCGTTTTCGAGCTCGTCGACGGACTATCGGTCATTCGCGGCCTACGGCTGCTTAGGGTCCTCAAGGTATATGCACCTCTACACACCTCTTGAAAAAAAAAAAAAAAAAAAAACTGGAAATCATTGCATGCGGTGACTCTCTGTAGCTTGCCCAGTCGTGGACGACGATGAAGGTGCTGCTGAGCATCATCATCTCAACCATCGGGGCCTTGGGTAACCTGACCCTCGTGCTCGTCATCGTCATTTACATCTTCGCCGTGATAGGCATGCAACTGTTCAGCCGGGATTACACCCTGGAAAAGTTCGAGCCCGATCCGGTGCCGAGATGGAACTTTAACGACTTTTTCCATTCGTTCATGATGATTTTTCGCATTTTGTGCGGCGAATGGATCGAGCCGCTATGGGACTGCATGCGAGCCGAACGAGACGAGGGCCCGGAGACCTGTTTCGCGATATTCCTGCCAGCGCTGGTTATGGGTAACTTCATGGTACTCAACCTCTTCCTCGCTTTGCTGCTCAACAGGTAAATAAAGAAAAAAAAAATAAAAAAACAAAAATAGATTACCACAAACACGATTGACCTTTCCCATGCTTCATCCCCACAGTTTTAACTCGGAGGAGCTCAAGCAGAAGAAGGAGGAAGTCGGTGAGGAATCAAAGTTAGCCAAATCCTTCGATCGCATAAGGTCCATAGTGCGGAAAAAGCGGTACCCAAAGCTCAAGAGCAACGACTCGGAGGACCCGGGTGGCAACGACAAGAGCAACAACGCCAAGCTCGAGCAGATCGTCCGCGAGGTCATGGACAAGTCCTCGGACAAGGCGAAGCACGAAAAGTACGCCATCCAGGAGACGGTCCTCGGCGCTCTGCCCAAGGACGCGATGTGCCAGCCGGTGTTCACGTACGAGCCGATTTACCGGCAAACGGTGCAGCGCAAGGAGACGACCGAAAGCACCGGCAAGACGGATGAGGTGGACAAGGAGACCATAGAGATGAGCGTGTTCAGGGACGCGAGCGCCAAGGCCGAGGAGGCAGCGGCATCGTCGAGACCAGGGCTGGAGGACGCGCCGAGGAAGACGGAGAGGAGGCCCTGGCACGCGCTCGTCAGTTACGTGGACGAGCTGACCGTCGGTGGTCGGAGGGACAGCCAGGGCAAGTACATCGACCCCATGGAGTCGTTTCCGAGTTTTGGGGGACGCAGGGCGCCCAAGGTGCCCCAGGACTGCTTTCCCGAGCATTGCTACGAGAAGCTCGGCTGTATAAACAAGTGCCTCGATACGGATATCGGTAAAAAGTGGACTAGCGTGAGGACTAGCGTGCTCTCGGTCGTCGACACGCCCGCGTTCGAGTGGCTCATCCTCGTGCTGATATTCGCGTCGTCGATAACTCTCTGCTTCGAGGACATCTACCTCGACGACAATCCTTACCTCAAGAACATCCTCTACTGGGCCAATTTGGCCTTTTGCGTGCTCTTCATCGTCGAGATGCTCCTCAAGTGGCTCGCCCTCGGTTATTGTAAATATTTCACCACTTTTTGGACCATCCTGGATTTTATCATCGTCGCCGTGAGTACACGCACGCAAAACCCCTTTTCCTTTTTTTTTTTCTTTTTTTTTTTTT